ATGACTATGTAAAATCCACTGTCACAGATTGGTAGGGATTTAATGTATATTTATTCTTTTCCTCTGTATGTTACTTCAACCTTTATTTAACCAAAATCATTTACCATTCTAGGGTGAGGTTGTTAGAACAAACACCAAATCCATTAACATTGGACCTACCAGATCAATGGTATTGTATTAATGTGTGGAGGTCAATTGATAATACATTTAGTGACATTCCTTATGTACTTGTAGTGGGGTTAGGGTTTGTATTCATGGATACCATTAAGGGGTTACACACTATTAAAACAGCAAAAAATCTCTTAAATACACTTGATTTTAATGGTGTGTGGCCCTGTGTGACCTCTTTACAGTATCTGTGAATACAAACCCTAAGTGGGGTTAGTAATTTTTTAAGAAACAATAATGATCTCTGTATTTTCATTATCCTGAACCTTCCTCTTTGATGCATATGCTTCTTTGCTGATGTCTTATATACCTCTATTATTATATCTTCATTTAGAGGTGAATGATCTGGTATAGCATCATCAGATTGTGAAAAACAAAATCAATCATTAGCAAATATTACACCAACACAACATAAAATTATAGATAAGAAAGGAGATGCATTTATTAGGTCCATTGGTTCATGTCAATAGATTGGGCAGCATCTGAGGCAGGATCAGTGTTGGAAATTCAGGGTGCGGAGGGTGCGGTGCTAACCAAATTTGGCAACTATTTGCAAAAATCCGCTGATAATTTCCATATCTGGTTAGCACGCACTCTGAATTCCAACACTGGGCAGGATATCATCGGGAAGGTCCAAATGGCACCAAATTAATCAAAGAAGGTGGTTTTAGTCTTCCTCAGCAGTTAAAAGATATATTCTGGAATCTTGCAGATAAAGTCAATTTTAATGAAAAAGATTGATGTTATAGGGTTACATGTATTTATTTTGAAAACATAAGTAACAATTTTTTCACCTTGTTCCTTTTTTAAAATACTTTTTATAGTATATAATTCTTGGGTATCATAGTAGATCTGATGTAAATGAGTTTCATATTAGCTATTTTTATATAGGGATAATTCTATATATCAAGGAAAAAACAAAATATAACAAATGGGAAGTTTTTAATAATCACATTACTAAATTTTGATCCCTAAAATTCTTGGTGATACCAATGTTCATTTTGTTTGGTTTTGTTGCAGTATGCCCTAAATGGAAATTGCATGATGCACAGTTTTTTATTTTTTTATCAAGACTTTGGATCAATATGCTAAGCCAAATTAAAAGTAAGGGTAATATTATATACAGAAAGGTTCTTTTTATGAAATATACAGAACCTATGTGACAAATAAGAATTAAGTCTTAGAGTTGGTAAACACTCTGTAATCCCTGCCACCCCAGCAGTGTTGGAAATTCAGGGTGCGGTGGGTGCGGTGCTAACCAAAGTTGGTAACTATTTGCAAAAATCCGCTGATAATTTCCATATCTGGTTAGCACGCACACTGAATTTCCAACACTGCACCCCAGCCCACAAATTTAATCATCACATCATCGATAAATGTCACGTAGGTCTTACAAAAATTTTGAGCTACAATTTGGTTTCCTTTTTTGTAGAATTAATTGCCATTTTTGGTAGGTTCTGTATCCATAAAAAGAACCTTTCTGTATATAAATAATATTTTCCTAAAAATAATCTATTAACAGAAAGAATAAACTGTATTCACTAATAAATATCTCTTCTACTCATGCTATAGATAATAACTTTTTTGTAATTCACTTGATGCAATCATTTTTAAAGCATTTGAAAATAAATGTTAATTATTATAAAAGAAAATAATTCATGAAATTAATTTCCACTATTAATAATTTATAAAACCATTTTTTGCACTTAATTTCCTCTTTCTCCAAGAAAAACTGTACAAACCATACATTTTCCAAAAGCTTTCAATGTACTCTATCTGCTCATGCCAAAACGATATTTATAAAACCACTTTCCAAAAAGAATGGTGTTTCCAAAGTCAAAAAGTATAGGGCTCTTTGAGAAGCCATTACTTGATAATAAAAAAGGTTATTGACACATAAAAAATTGCATTTAAAAGAACAAAAATGAGAGAATTTATCTACTTAAAAGTATAAAGAATGTTTAATTCCAATTTTAGATTATTATTTTATTATATTGAAATCACCAAGTGAAAGATAGCAGGTCTATTTGTATGTTTTTATAGTAATTTATTAGACCACCTAATCAATTCACCATTTGGCAACAAAATAGACTATTTTATTAAAGAATGCAACGTAAAAGGCAAACTTGGTACACGTTTTTTCATGTCTTCATAGTGCCCTTTCCCAGTAGAAAAAATGTCTGAGAACGCTAGGGCTTCTGTATCTAGGTTACCGCAATACTCATCATGGAAGGCCACTGTTAAGAATAACCAAAGAAAGTGGTCTCAGTGTGTTTGAATTAACAGGAGGGAGGTGAAGATTTGAATTTTGATTATAAGTGATTGAATTGTTAGAAATTCTGACGGTTGGAAAGGGCCTTGGAATTGAGTCAATTGGTAAGGGTTGTGATATGTTGATAATTTTAGCACATTCTTAGAAGACTGAATTATTATGTTTAGCCATCGGCTTGCAGATGGAACCAATTTGGTGGCTCATTCTCCAACTAAACCTGAGTGTAATTCTAAAGCATGCTTGTTTTTTGAAAACCTATAATTTGTATAAGAATTTGTACGCCCTAGTGAGCAACTCGCACGAACAGGTAAACAGGTGTTTCTGGAACATCATAGGCACAACATTAATTTGATTAAAAATTGATGGTGTAGGTAGAAAAATAGAATTTTATGTGTCTTTTATTTTTTAAAAATTATAGGAAAACCATATTACATATGTAAACTCGATAAGTTGGCCAAAAATTTCACCCATTTTTCTTAATATTTAAGTAATTTGATTCGATAAGTTAGTCATATGAGCTCACCCCCACATGACCGACTTATCAAGTTTATATATGTAATTTAGAGGTTGGAATCTCCAAAAAATCCTTAGCCGACTACTAGTTGGTCAAAATTTTCTTTAGTCAACTATTAATTGATTACTTTAGTTGACTATTTTAGTCAACTAAAATTTTTTTTATAACAAATAATAATGATATTTCGTTTTTTTAATTTGCAAATTACGAATTCATTTCCATTTGAATCTTTCACTTATTCAAAATACTTCCACACAAAACCATGTGTTACGATTCGTTTTTGTATTGGAAGTGTTTATTCATTAACATGTAAAATTATCATCAACACACTACTATTGTCGTCATCGTCATATTGATGGTATTGATACTCTTCCGCATAGAAATTTTCCATTTTGAATGATAAAACACAAAAATCGTAATTGGTCAGACAATAGTTGCATAGTATTAGTATTAGTATTAGTAGTATTAGTAGTTGACTAAATAATCGATTAAAATAGTTGAGTGTTAGTCGACTAAGATAGTCGACTATTAGTTGTTCAAAAAAAGTTTAGTCAACTATTTTAGTCGATTCCAACATCTAATGTAATTCGTATGCTGTCAATGCCTTTTAATGACATATCACGTGTTACAACAAAAAAAGACCTTTTGTTAAATGTGCTTTTTTGTATAATTCAATTAATACCATACCCAATCCTTTTTATTACGTATAAAAGTTTACTTAAGACAGCAAAAAAGGGTTTATTAAAAAAAAATTACACTTATTTAGTAAGGTGTTTTTTCATTTGATGTCATAGATATTATGGTATATATAGATAGACGAACACTATACATTGTATGTAGTTATATCATACGTAAACACATACGTTTTATATATGATCTGCTTGTATAGAAATAAAGTCCATATATGCATGCGTAGGATTCATTCATTCGTAACATTTACAATAAAAAAACTTTGGGCTAATTTAAATTCCACTCGTGTGAATTTATTATTTTATATGCGAACATCAAATTAATTTCTGGAACAAATAATAATTATAGTATTAATTTCCGAATTTCACAACCATAAAATCATCGTTTTTTGTATATGATTGATTACTTAATGTTACTAAAGAAATATCTATTTTATTTATTAAAAAATAAGCTTCAACATTCACTATACTTTATTTTCTACTTAAAATGGGGAGAAATCAAGTTGTAATACAAATACACTGGGGTTGGTCGAAATCTGTTAATAGATCCAAACTCTATTCATATCAATTAATACAATTCGGTTTAATACATAATTAAAGTTAAATCCAAAAAAAGGAATTTCTAACCAAAAAATTATACCAATCAACTCGTTAACATGATCACGAGCATGATTTACGATCACACCCTGAAATTTTGTTATTAAAGCACTGAATGAATGACGCGAAAATTTTTTTAATTCTACACTTAATAAAGATATGACGCATAGTAATAGTAATAGTAATAATAATAATAACAATAATAATAACGACGATAACATTAATCAATCATCGAAAAATGATGCTAAGAGGCAAGAAAACATTAAAGACAATAGTGTGATTCAGGTGGATGATGATCCATTATCTGCAAATAGCAACAACAACAACAACAACAATATTATTATTAGCAATAATAATTTAACATCAACAATTGAAAAACCAAAAAATCCTTGGAAAATCTTAATTTCATTAAATGCAGTTCAACGTACAACTTTCCTTGCTGCTTTTCTTGGTTGGACCCTAGACGCATTCGATTTTTTCATACTCAGTTTTACTGTATCTTATATCGCTGAAGAATTTAAATTGCCACCTTCAACAATCGCTGCAAGGTAATAAACAATAGGAATTAATTGATGATTAAAAAAATAAACATGAATCTTTTCAATTTTAATTTTTCTTTATTATTATCAAGTATTACGGTAACGTTAATGTTACGTCCACTCGGTGCTGCGATTTTTGGTCTTTTGGCAGATCGTTATGGCAGAAGATATCCTTTGATTTTTGATATAATTTTATATAGTCTGATGGAATTATTATCAGGATTTGCTCCAAATTTTACAATTTTCATGGTCTTTAGAGCAATTTTTGGAATCGCAATGGGTGGTGAGTGGGGTTTAGGCGCTGCTATGGCAATGGAAACTTTACCACCTGAAACTCGTGGGTAGGAAGCTTTTATTCCATTTTTTGAGAGTTGAAAAAGAAAAACGATAAATAATTTACATTATCGATTTTTTTAAATCTATATATTTTTCAAATAGTATATTTTCTGGTATTTTGCAGCAAGGATATGCATTTGGATATCTTTTAGCATCAGTTGCGTATTATTTTGTAGTAGATAGTCTAGGTTGGAGAGCGCTGTTTTGGATAGGTTCATTTCCTGCTTTGCTAGTAATATTCATAAGATTTTTTGTGCCAGAATCGCCAGTATGGAAATCACGACACGAAAAAAACAATCATTCTTCTTCCTCTAATCGTCGTGTTAGTGGTACTAAATTATGGTTAGCAGATATTAAACTAGTATTGAAAAATCATTGGAGAAGATTTATTTATACCACATTGTTAATGACTGGTTTTAGTTTTATGTCCCATGGTAGTTAAAATAATAATGATTGGGAGGGGGTTTGAGATTAAATTAAAATTAACAGTGATTTTTCTTTTCTTTAGGAACCCAGGATTTATATCCAACATTTCTTCGACTTCAACTTGGATTTACGTCAATTCAAATCACAACAACATTAATTATAGCAAACACTGGTGCAATAATCGGAGGAATGTCTTGTGGATATTTTTCAGAATATTTAGGCCGTAGACGTACCATCATAATTTCAGTATTTTTGGCCGGATGTTTTGTACCTTTATATGTACTTTCTAGGAATCAAATTTGGATATCTATTGGCGCGTTTTTATTGTATTTTTTTGTGCAGGTAAAAAAAATTATTTTGAAAAATTATTTTAAACAAAATAAATTTTTATTGTTATTATATTATTATATAGGGATCATTTGGTGTGGTTCCTGTTCATTTGAATGAACTATCGCCACCAAATCTTCGTGGCACATTTCCAGGATTAACATATCAAATTGGCACTTTGATATCATCCTCTTCAGCGCAAATAGAAGCAACATTAGGTGAAAAATTTAGACTTGATAATAGTGTGCCAAATTATGGTTTGATTATAGGTATATTATCAGGTGCTTGCATGTCTTTTTTAATTTTGATGGCTTTGATTGGCAAAGAAGCTAAAGGGGTTGATTTTATGTCTCAAGACGAGGACGTTGATATTGACATCGATAGAAACCAATTGGAAAAACAAAATCAAGTGCGAGAACTATAAAAGTAATGATAGAAACAGTAATAATAATAACAGATGAATTCAATCAATCCTATTCTAATTTTATTCATAATTATATTATCACTTATTTTTTCGTTACTTTCACATATTTTAAAGGTAACATTGTGAATTTTTTTTAGTCAACATTTTTTAATAAGTTGGACGCAGCAAACAATATAAATAAATGACCGACTTATTGTGTATTATATATACATAAATTTATTTGTTAATCGAATTTTTTCATGAAATATATATTCCCACTAGTATATGCGGTTATGGTCACATACAATAGTCCAAACCTTAGTGAATTAGCAGTGTTCACGCCATTTATTATTGTATATATGTAAAATAAATAAATAGATAATTAATTAATAAAAAATACACTTATAATTAAGTAAAAATACAACATAATTTTTTTTAAAAAATTAACAAAAAAATGACCCATTAAATACTAAAAAGATCACGCATGATCTTTAAGGTTTCTAAAGAACAATTAAACTTGTATATAAAAATAATTAATGACAATAAATAAAAATTTAAATTCTATTTTTCTATATATAAAAAAAAATTGTTTTTTTTTTAATGGTTTAGTTGATTTAGCCGCCCGTGTTTGTGTTGTGATTTAAATTTGCGTTTGCTGTATCTGTCTTGGATAAATTTTTCATATATTCCATTGCAGCTAATAAATCACTATCCCTTATGAAATGTTTGTCTGAAATATTTCTATGTCCATCTGATGATGACGGTAATTCTTTAGCCATTTTCTTGCGTTTCAAATAAACTATCGACATACCAATAAATACTATTAAAAATACAAGTGCAAATGAAATAGCTACAGAAATTATAATGACTATCGGCAAAGGCAAGACTTCTTTAAATTTTTAAGAGGGAGAAAATTAATATTATGTTAGCATTATTATATTAAATATATAATATATATATATATATAAATAAAAAAAACTTACTTCTTTCATTCAAAAGCCCAGGATCAATTATGGTAAATATTGAATTTATTGTTCCCGGTATACCATTTTCTTTAGAAGCTACAATAAATGGATATATGTTTTCACCATCGAATAATGCTGCATTAATTATACCATAGCTTTGTAAATTTAAAGTTCCAGAAATTAAAAGTAACCAATATTTGTCCAAAATTTGATTAGAATTATGTGATACGTTTGACGGTAATAACCTTAAAGAATTTATTAAAGAACCAGCCAGTATTTCATTTATTAAAACGTCCGTGAATTGTGCACCACCCCATTTACGTATATATGTTTGATTATTGTTGTCATAACCAGAAATAAAATAATTATCAGAAGCTGAAGAATCATATGCAACTGATGAAGCTGGTCCTGGAAGGCTACTTCCAATATCCACCCAATTAGTTGCCTTAAAATCATATTGTAACAAATTACTTGCATTTCCATCAAGTTTTATATTCTTACCAGTTGCAATAAAAATGTTTTGTTCTTTATTTGACTATATAATAATGATGACAATAAATATTATTATTATTATTTATTTAAGAAAAACAAATTTAATAAAAAAAAATTTACCTCTATAAAATCAACTGATGTAATTTCGCCTGAAATTACTGAATTGCTGACAATTGGTTTCCATTCACCAATTTTATAATCCCATGAACAAATTGAAACACAATCTATAGAACCTGCCTTATCAAATTTACCAGCAACTATTATATTATTTGTTCCTAATCGACTTTTAATAGAATTTACTTTTACGATGTTATCTCCAGCTAAAAAATAATAATAACAATTAGACAAGGTAATTATTGTTATTATTATTGTTACAGTTATTAAAATTAAAGTTTTACCTGATAATCGAGGAGGCTGATTATCATTTAATGCATTTCTAATCAATTCATAAGCAGTAAATCCACGAAATTCTTGAATATTTTGAGGTGGGCCAGTAAAGTTAAACGCGCCCCCTATAAACAATGATCCTTCTTCAACCACAACTAAAGATTTAACCTCTTCTTTAATATTAAAATTTGGAGGCATCAATACATTGTCTTTCGATATAGCAAAATTTGTTATATTCTGGTCTGGAAGATCAAAATTACCACCTATTATAACATAGGTGTTGTTGTTCTTTTCATCATTCCATAATGAACCTGTGTTGATGATAATCTCTGATTTCAAACCATTAGTTACTTGTGAATACATTGGAAAAGCGACAAAATCATTATGTCCTAAAAGTAAACTTGCTCCATAGGCTGTAGATGATTGTGCGGAATAAATATTGCCAGCTATAAATGTCATAGAATCAGATTTGCTACTACTATTAAGGGATACAATATCTCCTATTGAACCATCTATAAAGCCATTTTGCAACCATTTTGAATTGTCGTCATCCCATATTGCATAACCAAATGTAACATTTCCATTAACTTGAGAATTTGGTGATATTAAAGTATTAAATTTACCAGCTACATGAACTTGGCTACTACTACCATCTTGATTAACCAGAGCAATTCGCTCAACTCCACCATTAACGCCACCAGATAAACTGGACCATTTGTTTTCAGTAAGATCATATTTGGCCAAATTATTTAAACCTATAATTTGATTGTCAGACGTATTGTTAAATAATCCACCAACTAATAAACTATTGCCAACTTTCTCAATTGTACGCACCGGACCATTAAGACCTTTATTGGAAAGGGGATTAAATGTTGAACCATCATATTTTACAATGTTATTGGATGCCGCATTATTGAAATATCCACCTATAACTAACGATGATTGTTCTAAAACAACTATATCATGAACAACAGATCTAGGTGCCAACAATCCTAATTTATTAGAATAAAGAAGATATAAAAATTTTTTAATGATAATAAAAATAATCATAATAGATATCATTAATCTATAATATTGTAAATAGATTGACTACGTTACCATTAAAACCGTCCCATAGGGCTTGAGGATTTTGATCAGATTGGGGGATATATAAAAGCAAACTACTTAATGGGGCACCATTATTAGTTTTAACAAATTTTACAAAATCTGCAGTTATCAGTACATCACCTCCACCTACAGGAGGAGTTGTTTTAGATAAAGTGATTTCTACTGTCGGTTGAAAATTATTTGATGTTTGAAGCACGAATCCTTCATAAATTAAATCTTCTTTGCTGAATCGAGTATTTTGTGAAATGGTGATATTTTGAGATACTCCCGGAGCTACAGTTATTGTAATATCAACTGATGCTGCTTTATCGCAACCAAATGGTAGACATGTGAGCGTTGCAATTGTGACCTTGTAATTACCAGCTTGTGGAACATAAGGTATAAGGGTTATTTTTGCATCCGATGTTGTTAAATCGGCGGCTTTAATTGTAGTTTGTAAAACATTTTCCCAGATTCCTGATAATAAACTTGGAACCCAATTACCAATAGTTTTAACTTGAGGTACAAATGGTGCACTTGAACAACTAAATGAATTTCGATCATTAACAGCATTTACAATAACATCTATAAATGTAAGTGATATTTTAATTAATATAATATCAATATGCATATGGTTTCAAATCATTAAAATAGCATATACATAATAAATTTTTTGAAGGTTTTAACATACCATTTTGAAATAATTGAATTCCATGTAATCCACCACCTCCGCCGTACCATTCCAAAATATCAATTTGAATTCCTGTTAAAACCTTAGGTGCAACAAATTCAAACATTTGAAAATCTTGATTGTTTTGAGTTAAAGTGCATTCTCTACATATCATTTGTGTACCATTATTTGGATCAACATATTTAAGATCTACAACACTATTATCTGCGGTGGCAATTAATCTATTTTTTTAAAAAGAAAAAAAAGTTAATCATTATAAGTGATCATTAAATATTCATTAAAAAAAAAACAAAAAACAAACAAACCTAAACTTTTTTGTTCCTCTTCCTTGAAAATTAGTATTTTTCAAACCAATAAAAGTGGGACTTAACTTTACTGGATATTCAGCTCTCCAATAACCAGGAATATTATCTCTTAATAACCATATATTACCGGGGCCGTCTAAATCAGCACTACATATTATTGCAGATGGATTACCAACTGTATAATCAACTGCATTATTACCACCAGAGATCTAAATCAGATCAAAATAAATAAAACTATAGTTACAAATATATACATTTTTAAAAATTTTTTTTAAAAAATCATACATGTATGCGTTTTATATACGCATATAAGATTAAATTACCGTAGCATTTCTCATATTTATGGGCTGTGAACCAGTAGACACACCGAATTGACCATCACCAGTAGCATCAAAGCTTCCACCAAAATATATAGTATTATTTTCCTTATTAGATGCAATCGTGTAAACAGGGCCATTGAACCCTTTGAATGGTAGAGGCTGCCATATACTAGTTCCATTATTCCATATAGCCACACCGCTACCAAATTCAGTAGCATTGTAATTATTTTTAGTTGGGTTTGCCGGAGCAGAAAACAAACCACCAACATAAACAATCGAATTTGATTTATCACAATACAATGAATGAACAGCCCCATCCAAACCATCCAATAACGAAATAAAAGTATCAGTAGTAACATCATAACGGATTATGTTGTTTGTAGTTATACCGCCAATACTTGTAAAGTTACCGCCTATAAATACATCTACATCTGCATTATCATTGTTATCAGAAGAACGTGGCAATATACATAATGCATTAATTGTTCCTTGTGTAGAAGTAGAACCAGCGAGTTTATATGTATTATTATTTGTTAATTGTATAATGAAAGAGGCAGTTGAAACGTCATACGATTCTTTTTGACCTATAACATCATATTCAGATATACCGTCGTATTGTCCTGTTATTAGTAATTTTGAAGTAGCATCAAAATATACGCCAGGATTGTCTGCTAAAATAATAGTAAAAGAAAGTTGATATATTACTATAAAACATGTTAATATTATAAGGTTTGAATAATGTGGTATTAATATTAGTTTCATTTTTTTTAAAACATTGAATGAATGAATCTAAACTTCTAGAAATTAATGTAAATTATTATTTATGATTAAATTAAATAAATATTAAGATCTATATATATGTATTGAATTAAATAGAAATGTTTTTTATTTAATAAAAAAAAATATATCGTTCTTATTCTATATAAAATTCGAGCGAGGGAAAGGAGGTGATATTATTATGCAATGTAGTAAGTGAGGTGTAATTGTTATTATTATTGCTATATACAAATTAATAATAATAATAATAATAATAATAAATAATACACGAGTTGTAAAAACTCAGAAAACTCTAAAAAAAATTTTATAGCGAAAAAAAAATTTTTTTGGTTTCATTTAATTAGTGATAAATTACCCAAAATAAATTATTATTATTAAAGTTTAGTTTGATGATGTCACTTATTGTGTTAATTATCTAAATTATCTTAGCAGTGTGATAATACAGTAAACAATACAAATTCATTCATTTCTATAATTGCAAAAGTTGATTATAGCTTATAAACATTTTCTTTTTCTTAATATTAAGGCTTTTTTCCTTTCAATATTTATCCTCGGAGGAAGGATATTAATTTTCGGCTGATGTATACATGAAAAAGATGCAGGCAATTAATTATATATAACTGTTTAATATGAGGGTCCTATAATCCTAATACTAATACATATATGATCGACATATATTTGTCTATTTTAATCTTTATATATTTTTTTTTCAATCAAAACCAATATATTCAACATAATAATTCAGTTTAATATCACTTAATTTGCCTTCTTTGAAAAATACTTAATAATGATGATATGGTATTATTGTTTTTGTATTGTATTATATTATAATTATAATACTTTTCATAATTGTAAAAAAAAAAATAATCTCATGCGCACATGCACACATATTTTAAATATTTCCTTCTCTGCGTAATACTTTTCTTTCCTCCAACTGTTTTGTTTTTTAAAAGAATTCAAAATTGGGGGGGTTAAATTATACACATTCAGATAGATTTAATTAAAGAACAAGTAATATTTAATAATAATTATAATATTTACCCATCGTTTTTTACATTCACGATACATTGAAAAATATTCCTGGCATTTGGTTCTATCGTAATTATTGACATCTAAGCATTTCAACGAAGCTGTGCTTTCTTTCTGACAAAATTCCATGAATTGTGAAGGTAATTTTTTTTTATAAGCTAAATGAATATTTTCTTCTTTTTGTGAATTCATATTTTTCCTTTATTAAAAACAAAAATTCAGTTTCACACATCACTTAATATGACTCAGTAATTTCATTCAATAATGTGAAAGTACTATGTACTATAAGAAGTAAGGATTTACAAGGCACGTGACGTTGTTGATAAATTGGTTTATTTATGTTAAAGACCAATAACATTTTGTTATAAGAATTGCGTGCAACGTCGAAAACTTAAAAATAAAGTCATTTGGCAATTCCAGACAATTATAATGCTACGTTGTAAAACCTTGCACTAGTTAAAATGCAGTTTTTTAAAGAGAGGAATTTTTTGACACAAGATCTTATAGATACATCAAAGATAAAGTCGTGTAACAGGGCAAAATTTGGTTATTTCCACCCTAAAAAACCATTTTTGAAATTACGTAAAATCTATTAAAACATTTATTTATATGGATGACGGTTTTATTTTTACATGATCTAGAGATCAAATAGGTGTTGATCCAAGTTGTTTTATAGATTAGATGTTTAATGAGTTAAGAATTGAAATTATATTTATTTATTTTTTATTAAGAAAATTAATTTTTAATTGATTATTTATTTACAACTTCCATGCCATTTTATTTTTAGAGATCAGATGAGTGTCAATACAAGTTAATTCATCTCGATTGGTTGGATATATTGCTCAGATATAGAAGAAATAGACTCATAAGATGTAAAAAAGTCAACAAATCACAATTTTATTAAACAACCTTGTCGCGTATTAACTATATATAATTTTTAAATATGACGTTAACAGAAATCCAAGCTTTCTTTTGAGTCTATGATGATTAAATTCGGTAAGGTATTCAGAGAGTTACAGAAATATATAGGTAAAACTCCATTTTTTGAAATTACATGGAATCTATTAAAACATTTATTTATACGGATGGTGGTTTTATTTTTACATGATTTAGAGATCAAATAGGTATTGATCAAAGTTGTTTTATATCAATAGACTAGATGTTTAATGAATTAAGAATTGATATTATATTTATTTATTTTTTATTAGGATCAATAGAGAATTATTGAAAATTTAAAAAAAAAAGATTTTGGCTATATAACAAATATAACTTTATCTTTAAATGACATAGTCAAAGAAATTCAAATAAAACACTCAGTAACTAGATCAGTTTACTCAATAAGTCGGCCAAAATTTTCACACATTTTTCTTAATATTTAAGTAATTTAATTCGATAAGTCGGTCATATGAGCTCACCCCACATGACCGACTTATCGAGTTTACATATGTATGTTTTATGTAATATATTACATATACAGTATATGATTTCCTCTTATTATCTGCGTCCTTATATAACTGAAACAAATGAGAATTTTTTGTATCTAAATGTAAATGCAATATAAATTTTTGCAAAATTAGGCTTGTGGTTTTTTTTTGCATGCATTGTGGTTGATTGTATAATATATACACCAAATAGTATTATGCAAAGGTTGTGAAGAAAAAAAATAATTAATAAATGTGGAAATGAAGAAATTGCTAGATTTCTTTACGAATGTAAACTAAATTATAAGTGGAGACCATTTAACGAATTTACAAATATTGAATACTTGGCTAAAGATGTTTTTATTTAGTTGATTGAGAATGAAATGATGAATAATTTGGTTTTTGAATCTTAGATTTGAAAATCATTCCATTTTTATACTTCGTGCTACGTATGATTGTTATTATTATTATATATATATTAAGAAATTTACAACATGATAACATGCCAAAAGACGTATATATAACATTATTATCAAATTTTTGAATTATAGTTACATGACCTCATGTCGATCTTCGGTGTAACGCTATGGCCTGGAATTTTCTACTAAAAAATTCAAACTTGGCTTTAATTTATCTACAACTTGCTAGAAACTTCCAACATATTATCTAAAGATGTACTACAATTTGAAAAATCATATAAATTATCCAACAATTATCCTCTCCTCCCCAGTAATCATTTATAATAAATAATAATATAATAAAATATAAATATAATATTCTCATCACAAATTAAAAAAAATCGAAAAAAAAATCGAACAAAAATGGCAGAAGTTGAACAATTTTCATTTCAAGCTGAAATTTCTCAGCTTATGTCTATAATTATAAATACATTTTATTCAAATAAAGAGTGAGTAAACAATGGAATTTTTATTCGTTTTTTTTTCGTTCAAAAAAAAATTTTTTTTAATACAAATAAAAGCAAAAAAACGTACAACATATAAACTAATAAACAAATTAAACATTTTTTTAGAATTTTCCTTCGTGAATTGATTTCTAATGCATCTGATGCCTTGGATAAAATTCGATATGAATCGCTTACAGATCCATCAAAACTTGAAACAGGGAATGAACTTTATATCAAAATTATTCCGGATAAAGAAAATAAAACTCTTTCCATTAGAGACACTGGTATCGGTATGACAAAGGTATATATTATTTATTTACATATATAATATATATATACACATATGCATATGTGTTGAAATTAATTTAACTTAATAATTAATTTTTGGAAAAATTTTTTTTCTATATAATTACATCGTAGGCCGATCTTGTTAATAATCTTGGTACAATTGCTCGATCAGGCACTAAAGCATTTATGGAAGCTCTCCAATCTGGTGCTGATATATCAATGATTGGTCAATTTGGTGTTGGTTTCTATTCTGCTTATTTGGTAGCTGATCGTGTCCAAGTGATTACAAAACATAACGACGATGAACAATACATTTGGGAATCTGCTGCTGGTGGTTCTTTTACAATCACTCGTGACACAATCAATCCTCCTCTTGGTCGCGGTTCTGAAGTTAAATTGTTTCTTAAAGAAGATCAACTTGATTATTTGGAGGAACGTAAAATAAAAGAAGTTGTCAAGAAACATTCTGAATTCATTGGTTATCCAATCCAACTAGTTGTTGAAAAAGAAGTTGAAAAAGAGGTTGAAAAAGAAACCGAAGAAAGTGCGGGTGAAGAAAAGAAAACAGAAGAAAGTAAAATAGAGGAAATTGATGAGGATATGGAGGATGAGAAAAAAACAAAAATTGAAGAAATCGACGATGAGGAAGATGAAAAAGAAAAAGAAAAAAATAAGAAAAAGAAAGAAAAAGTTAAAGTTAAAGATGTTGAAGAACTTAACAAAACAAAGCCAATTTGGACGCGTAATCCTGATGATATAGAACATGCAGATTATGCTGCCTTCTATAAATCAATAACTAATGATTGGGAAGAACATTTGGCTGTTAAGCATTTCTCTATTGAGGGCCAACTTGAATTCAGAGCACTTCTTTTTGTTCCAAGTCGTGCTCCATTCGACTTATTTGAGACTAAAAAGAAACGTAACAATATCAAACTCTATGTAAGGCGTGTGTTCATTATGGATGATTGTGAAGAGTTGATACCCGAATACCTTAATTTTGTTAAGGGTGTTGTAGACTCTGAAGATCTGCCCCTAAACATTTCACGTGAGACGCTTCAACAAAACAAAATACTTAAAGTTATTAGAAAAAATATCGTAAAGAAATGTTTAGAAATGTTTAGCGAAATTGCCGAAGATAAAGAGAAATTTGCCAAATTTTACGAAGCATTTTCTAAAAACATTAAACTTGGCATTCATGAAGATTCACAAAATCGAGCTAAATTAGCTGAACTCCTTCGTTTCAATTCGACAAAATCTCCTAGTGAACTAACGTCATTAAAAGATTACGTTACAAGAATGCCTGAAAAACAAAAATCAATTTATTACATCACTGGTGAAAGTCGTCAAGGAGTTGAAAACTCGCCATTTGTTGAAGTTCTCAAGAAGAGAGGTCTTGAAGTATTGTTTATGACTGATCCAATTGATGAATACTGTATTACACAACTTAAGGAATATGAAGGCAAAAAACTTGTTTCTGTTACAAAAGAAGGCTTAGAACTTGACGAGGATGAAGATGAGAAAAAGAGACACGAAGAAGAGGCGAAACAATATGAAAGTTTGTGTAAACAGATTAAAGAAATACTTGGTGATAAAGTTGAAAAGGTAAGTATTAACTGTTTTATTAATTATTGCAATTTTTTTTTCTTATTCGAATTAATAAATATATACATTGTGTGCGTGTAGGTTCTTGTTTCAAATCGTATTTCAGAATCACCTTGTGTACTTGTGACAGGACAATATGGTTGGTCAGCTAATTTTGAACGTATAATGAAGGCACAAGCACTTCGTGATTCAAGTATGGCGTCTTACATGGCATCAAAGAAAATAATGGAAATCAATCCACATCACCCAATCATTAAATCACTCAAATCAAAAGTTGAAGCAGATAAAAATGATAAAACAGTTAAAGATCTTACATGGTTATTATTTGAAACCTCACTTTTACAATCTGGATTTAGCTTGGAAGAGCCATCATCGTTTGCCAATAGAATCTTTAAAATGATTAAACTTGGTCTTGATATTGGTGATGATGATAACGATGACAATCGTGTAGAACCCATGGAAATTGAAAAGGACTCAACTGAGGCAGAAGCATCTCACATGGAGGAAGTTGATTAAATTTAATTTTATTATTCGTAATAAGGTCACTTTTTTTTCCTCTCCTTTCCTAGATTATAATGTATTATAGTAATAATTGTGGTAGTTATGATAAATAATAATACTTTATTGATAAAATTTTATTATAAATGTCTTGAATTTGTTTTAATCAATTTATATGTGTATATATATATATATATTATATATCATTTATTAATTAATATTAAACAAAAAAAAATAAAAAATAAAAAAAATTTTACAATTATTTTTTATAAAATGAACGAAATTTAAAAATTATTCAAAATAATATTTTCAATTCGATCATCTATATATTGAACTTTATCACTATAAAAATTATCTACAAAATTTCGAACAAACTCAACATGGCTTTCTTTTCCAAATACCCAATAAGCTCTCGACGAAATTAAGAACCCTATAAAAACCCACACCAAAGTTTCACCCAGGGCTCCGTAATAAGTATCAACTTTTTTTATGGAGTCGAATGGGACATCCCAAGTAATCAGTTGGATATTTTTTCTTATGGAAATTTCATAATTACGAATTCTACCTAATGGATCTATCAAACCACTTGCACCGCCTTGATCACAACGTAATATCCAATACCCATTTTCGATTGCCCTGATCGACGACATTCTTAAATGTTGCAAACCTACATAAGTTGAGAAGGTTTGTGCCGGCGAAAGAACTAAATTTGCTGATGATGCTTGGTTTAATAGTTCAGGAAAGTCCATATCCAAGCAAATTGCTCCACTAATTCTTAAATCAGTAGTATAGTTACGATGATGCTTTTTGTTTTTATCTTCATATTCTACGTTTACAATCGGCAATTTTCCTTCTCCGCCCTCTGTCGACCAAGACTCTGCCAACCATACTGGATGAGTTTTTTGATATTCAAATAAAATCTATGAATAGAAATTTCCAAATCAACCAATCAATCAATTTAATTTATAAATATATAATAAATTAAATATGATGTATATATTTATAAATATATATATGTATACATACATCTTCATGATCTGGTCCAATGAACGTGAGCATGTTTCTTTTTTTGTTGCTGTACCCCGTTGGTATGGTGTAAGTAAACCCTAACCAAAATTTGTATGTAGAGGACATGTTCATTACATTTTCTAATAATTCACTATATTCCTCTTGAGAATGTAACGGAAGTGCAGACTCTGACCATAAAATAATTTTGACGGCTTTACTGGTACCAAGATCAGCCGTAGCTCTCAAAATTTCATCATGTGTTATACCAGCACCTGGTAACATACATCCAACTCTTATCAATTCAACTGGTTCGGTATTTTCGAAATGGCTTAATCTAAAATTATAAAAAAAGATTACTCCAAATAAAAAAACAAAAAGTCCTAATGCCGCATTATAATTAAATTTTAAATTCTGTTCCAGATTAGTTAATGCAGGATCGATTGGTCTTGTAATTCTATTATTACCACTAGAAATGGCTAGTATTGATGGGGTGTTTCGAGAAGAAGAAATTAATAGAGGAGTATTTTCATTGTCTCTTGATTGTTGGTAAATCAATCGTTTCTTCCTATCCTTTATTTTATATTTATAAATAATGTGATTGCTAGCAATCACCGACCACGTTGATAGCAATAGATTTATGGCCGATAAACCTCCTATTGATGCAAGCTGCATTATAGGATTTCCAGAATATCCGGATGAGTCCAACGTATAACTCCAATCACCCCAAGAACCAACTGGCGAGTATCGTCTTAGCAACGACCATGACAGAGTCCAAATGATTGGATATATTGACCAAAAGCTTATTTTATTTCTTGTTGGTGGGTCATAATCGCTGAGCCCGAAATGATCACTTAAAAATTTTGTTATCATCCCTGGAATGATTGTCAAGGTTGTTATTGCGCTTCCAACTACAAAAAGTGCTTTGTAGTCGTCAAATGGTGACTCGATAGACGAGGTTGAAGTTTCATAATACGAAAGCGCGGATCCACATCCCAATGCAATGAAGAGTCCCAAATTAATATACATAGGAGTTGAACGTATTAATAATAATATTAATGGATGCAAAAACAAAGGGATGAAGGTGATCGGTCTGGTTCCTAAGCCAAACCATGCTAACAAGAATACGGTAGTGTATTCGGGTGAAATTTTAAAAAATTTTTTCACAATGTTAAAAATATTCAACATTTTGAAGTTTTTTATTTTATTTAGATGTTTGTACCATTTTTATAATCTTTAAATTTTCCCGGTTTTGTAATTGTATCTATATTTATACATTTGAAATTGAGTACATTGATTATTATTATCCAATCAAATTTTTGAATTTCGACGAAATTTACACACTGATCAGATCAGATCAGATGGGTAGAGTTATCGGGAAAATCCATTGGTGCTGATCCGTTCATTCAACATACTAATACGGTAAGACTCCACAAATGGTAGCCAAAAGCGGGTATCAAATGGTATTGATTTTCTGAAGATTATTGGTCTTGAGATCCAAAAAAGGAAATATAACACCAAAAAAACAATCGTATGTTTTGAAGCCTTTTTTTTTTTTTGCTGAGTAAGGACATTCATTTCGCCAGATCCAATATTAATATGTTTTTTGATCGTTTGATTTTTGATGAAATTAAAACATCTAGAAATATAATAATGTGATGAGTATATAATAAAGAATAATAACATTTATAAAAAACGCAATATTTACAACATTCATTACCAGATCCAAGATTTCCTTAAAAATCATGTATTTTTCCGCAAAAATCATCCGCCATTTTGCGCAGCATCATGAAAATATCCAATTTTATTGGTGGGTTGGATGCGTGTTATCCTTATTTAGAGATTGATTTGGTGATTGCGGATGATTTTTGCGGAAAAATACATGATTATGATGATATCCTTTAATTATCTTTTTTGTTGGCTTATCGAAAACGCCAAGAAAATTTATGGATCAGATTTTTTAAAAAAAAACCTCCCAACCATAAATATCCGGCCGCAACGTCAAACTTACTAAATAAAGTACGTTTTCTTAAATAAAACCTTTTCTGCTATACTAAGTAAACTCATATCAAAACTCTATATTACAAAAATTTCGAACAGCTCAGTATGGTATTAATGGAGATATTTAGCAAATCATCCAAAGAAGCAAATTTCCGATTGAATTTTTACATGTAATAAAAGGTCAAATTTTTTTGTTGTAATGTATATTATTACCTTAATAAAACGCGCTTAACGTAACAGATTGCATATATTTACAATACAGTGTCAGCATAAATTAGTTTGTGAAAATGGTTTAAAAAAGTATCCG